GATGTAGGTGCAGTCCGACTTGTCGCCCTGCCTGGGGACACCAGGGCCACCTCAGCACCAGCCCTGCCCATCCCAGTTGGTCCCTCAACCCAACCAAGAGCTCCGGGACCCACCTGTAGAGCGCCCGCCCGGCCTCCACCGCCATCCAGTCGATGGCAAAGTCCATCTGGCGCACGAAGGGCGACATCCGGGCGGCCACGGTGTGGGCCACGCTCAGCACCACGCTGGGCTGCTCCCTCATGATCCTGGGGGTCAGCAGCAGTTGGTGGGGGGACCTGGTGGTGACCCCAAGAGGTGCCACCTCAGGAATCCCAACCCTTGAGCTCACTCATAGAAGTCCGACTTGGAGATCTTGAGGAAGGTGCAGTCGCGGTTGGCCTTGATGGTGAAGATGAGGGGCTCCCCGGTGAGCACGGCCAGCTGTCCCACCATCTCCCCAGGCTGGGTCAGGAAGAGGCAAACGTCCTCGGCCTTGTCGATCATGCGCTGGTAGACGTGCAGGCAGCCCCACAGCACGAAGTGGAGACTCACGTCCTGCCCAAACGGCACCTTCTCACCCTCGGGGGCCACCTGGGACCCCCCCAGGTAGGGAGGGGGTCCCACCAGCACCGCTGCAGGGTCCTCCTGGGCCTCTTCACAAGGTGGGTTGGCACCCTCCGGATGGTTCTGGGGACTGTTCCTGCTCCCCCACCAGTAGGAAGAGCAGGACCCCACGGAAATAGAGGGTGGGGGGGAGCAAGAGGCCACCCCACCCCAGACCCACCTGGTCCCCTTGACGGGCAATGACTGTCCCAGCTTTGGCATGATGGAGCAAGACACGGTTGTTGAGGAGAGAAGGGTCCTGGGGGGAAGAAAGGCACCACATGAGGTGATGGGGACCCCGACGGGGAGACAGGGACCATCAGGAGGAGATGGGGATCACCACAAAGGCATGAGGACACCCCATGAGGAGACAGGGACCCGTTACAAAGTGATGAGGGACCGCCAGGAGGACCACAGGGACCACCAGGAGGACCACAGGGATCACCATGAGGAGACAGGGGACCACCCTGAGGCAGTGGGAACAACCAGATAGTCATGGAGGCCACCACAAGGAGGTGGGGGGACCACCCCAAAGTGATGGTGACAAGCCTGAGGCCACAGGGACCACCACAAAGTGATGGGGATCCACCATGTGCTGATGGAGATCACCATGAGGAGACAAGGACCAACCACAGAACCATGAGAGACCCCTGTGAGGAGACAGGGGACCACCCTGAGGCAATGGGGACTATCACAAGGGGATGAGGGACCTTCCCAAAGGGACGGGGACCACTCTGAGGCCACAGAGACCACCACAAAGTGATGGGGAGGTGCTGAGGACCCATCACGAAGCAACCAGGACCACTACAAAGCAATGGGGAACCAACACAAAGTGACAAGGCACCACCACACGGTGATGGGAGGTCCACCAGGATGTGACAAGGACCAACACCAAGGCCACGGATGGGGGGACCACCACGAAGGGATGGAAACCCACCAGGAGATCACCACGGAGACCCAATGAACCCCCCCCATTCCTGCCCTCACCTCCACCTTCATGAGCTTGACCAGCTCCCGTTTGGCCGCCTCGAAGATGGTGCTGATCTGACGACCCTGGTAGGGACCAAAGGGACAGTCCCCAGGGGCTGAGTCGTCCTCACAGCAGCTGTAGTGGTGGACACCAGGTGGCTGCTCCTCCACCATCACCGACCTGCGCTCCTTGGCCTCCTGGGAGACAGACTGTGGGGACAGGACCCTGCTCCTGCACCCGGCCATGGCCACCCTGCTGGGGAGGGGCTGGGTGGCCATGGGGAGGGGCTGGGTGGCCACCAGATACAGTCACCCTGCTGGGGAGGGGCTGGGTGGCCATGGGGAGGGTCTGGGGGGCCACCAGGAACAGCCACCCTGGTGGGGAGGGGCTGGGGGGGCATC